AGTTTGGTCCATCCCCACCCCTTGCTGTAACCAGTAACATGCGGTGTGTGTATGGGTATGTGTTGCAGTCCCGGTAGACCAGTCCAGTCCATCCTCACCCCTTGTTGTAACCGGTGACATGCGGTGTGTACATGTGTATGTGTTGCAGTCCCGGTAGCCTGCTCAGTCCATCCTCACCCTTTGCTGTAACCAGTGACACCCAGTATGTGTATGTGTGTGTGTTGCAGCCCCGATAACCTGCTCAATCTGCCCTTACCCTTTGTTGTGACCAGTGACACCCGGTATGTGTGTGTGTGTGTGTTGCAGTCCCGGTAGTCCAGTCCAGTCCATCCTCACCCCCTTGCTGTAACCAGTGACACCCGGTATGTGTATGTGTATGTGTTGCAGTCCCGGTAGTCCAGTTTAGTTCATCCTCACCCCTTGCTGTAACCAGTAACATGCGGTGCGTACTTGTGTATGTGTTGCAGACCCGGTAGCCCAGTTCAGTCCATCCCCACCCCTTGCTGTAACCGGTGACGTGTGGTATGTGTATGTGTGTGTGTTGCTGTCCCGGTAGCCCAGCTCAGTCCATCCCTACCCCTTGCTGTAACCGATGACATGCGGTATGTGTAAGTGTGTGTGTTGCAGTCCCGGAAGCCCAGTTTAAGTACTTCCTCACCCTAGTTGTAGCCGGTAACATGTGGTATGAGTATGTGTGAGTGTTGCGGTTCCGATGGCACAGATCAGTTCTTCCTCCCTTTTTTACGTGACCGGTGCCCTCCAAAAGTAGTATGTGGTGACCGGGCGCCCGGGTAGGAAAGGGTGCACGAGACTAAGAATTAGATTGCGTCCCTCGAGCTTCCGCCGCCGCCACCGCTCCTACAACCTCTACCACCCCAACCCTCCTTCTATCTCCATCACCTACGCCCATCCACCATTGCCGACCACCCCAACCCTTCTTCCACCTCCATCACCTACACCCATCCACCATAGCCAGCCACCCCAACCCTTCTTCTACCTCCATCACCTACGCCCATCCACCATAGCCGACCACCCCGACCCTTCTTCTACCTCCATCACCTACACCCATCCACCATAGCCKACCACCCCGACCCTTCTTCCACCTTCATCACCCACACCCTTCCACCATAGCCGACCACCCCAACCCTTCTTCCGCCTCCATCACCTACACCCACCCACCATAGCCGGCCACTCCAACCCTTCTTCCATATCCATGACCTACACCCGTCCACCATAGCCGGCCACCCCAACCCTTCTTCCACCTCCATCAATTATACCCATCCACCATAGCCGATCACCCCAACCCTTCTTCCTCCTTCATCACCCACACCCGTCCACTATAGCTGGCCACCCCCAACCCTTCATCCTCCTCCATCACCCACACCCGTCCACCATAGCCGACCATCCCCAACCCTTCTCCCTCCTCCATCACCCACACCCATCCACCATAGCCGGCCAACCCCAACCCTTCTTCCTCCTCCATCACCCATACCCGTCCACCATAGCCGGCCACACCCAACCCATCTTCCTCCTTCATCACCCACACCCTTCCACCATAGCCGACCGCCCCAACCCTTCTTCCGCCTCCATCACCTACACCCACCCACCATACCCGGCCACCCCGACCGTTCTTCTACCTCCATCACCTACACCCGTCCACCATAGCCGACCATCCCCAACCCTTCTTCCTCCTTCATCAGCCACACCCTTCCACCATAGCCGACCACCCCAACCCTTCTTCCGCCTCCATCACCTACACCCACCCACCATAGCCGGCCACCCCAACCCTTCTTCCTCCTCCATCACCCGCACCCGTCCACCATAGCCGACCACCCCCAACCCTTCATCCCCCTCCATCACCCACACCCGTCCACCATAGCCGACCATCCCCAACCCTTCTTCCACCTCCATCACCTACACCCATCCACCATAGCCGACCACCCCAACCCTTCTTCCTCCTCCATCACCCACACCCGTCCACCATAGCCG